GCATGGAAACTTCATTATTTGAAGTTCAAACGAGTTCGTGTGCAGCGCAATATACAGCTTCCTGACTTTTCCCCGACATATAGCCGAGAGCATAATTGTATCTACATACGTAACGACAGACTTCGTCCTTGCATACCATTTTTCATTGCCATTAACTTTCATACGTATAAAAAGAATATATTCTTATATAATTTGAAGCAATTTTTTCAACATTGTTCAAATGCCTTTTCTCTGGGCTAGAAATACTCGTTGAATTAATTTTTCGCAGCATCCAAAATCACTTAATTCAGAAAAGATTCGTACTATTGTAAAGAATTATTACAGTTATGCCCTTATTATCGTGCTGTATGATCTTAATTTTTCTGTACGATTTTTCACTTTATTTCCTTTTTTCTTTTTTCTTTAAATTCCTTTCCTTCTCTCTCTTTTTTTTTTTCCTTTTTTCTCTTTGCTGATCCAATATCGGGGATTCGCGATTTTCGAGGGAGGAACAAAAGGCCAGGGAGAATGTGTGTTTAACGCTTTCACGAGGAATTTGGCAAAGGAGGTCTAAATAGGTCGCGAGCCAATTGGTCGTGTACGGTAATTGAACATCCATCGGTACACCCTTATCGTTTTACTTGAACGAAAATTGATCCGCGCGTTTCTACGCGCAGGATCAACGTTGACAATATCTGTGTTGTTGCCAGCACAAAGGTGATGCTGCTTTTCTCCTGTCGGCTCGATCTCGAGAGTTGAAACGTTACTCTCCCCTCTCCCCCCTCGCTCCAAAAAAAAAAAAAAAAATACACGAAATTTCGCGAGATAGATGTTAATTCTGTCCGATGGAGGAGAAACAAGATGAGACGTGGGCAAGAGTTGTTGGGTGTCACAGAAATTCACACACTGAGACTCTTACGAAATGAATACAACCTTCACATTCCCGTTGCTATTCTTTCTTGCTGTTCGATCGGATAACAAATCGCTCGTAAAAGAATGCCAATTTGTCAAGATCGTGACGGAAGGCTCAATTTTTTTTTTTTTTTTTTTTAGAGAGAGAAAGAGAGAGAGAGAAAGAGAAAGAGAGAAAGAGAGAGAGAGAAAGAAAAATAAAGGAGAGGATAGAGATAATCGTTTTATTTTTTTTTTTTTTTTAACCCAGATCTCTGGATCGTTGCGAATAAAAGAATCGTAAATTTCGGGAATTTCGTGTGAAATGTGTCGTATGCAGATGAATATTGATAGACTTTGGAGAATTTTTTGACGTTTTTTAAAATCAAAAGTATGCAACTGTGTTTTATATGTACGCGATACATAGTCATTAAATCGCGATCAACAGCGCAATATATCCTGAAATATAGATCTGTAACTGTCACATTATCTTCTTTGATTCTTCACAAAATTGCGAAATAAATCGCGTAACCTGCCGTGCAATACATCACTGTCATGGAAACGACTCGATGTTACTGATTAAACAAATGACAACTGCTGTTGCGAAGACTATTCTTTAAGCCTCGATTTACTACCTGATTTTCGAACATTGCCAAAAAAATATTGAACACGAGCGTATCAACTTCGTGACACGCGTGAATCGAAACTTTGGCGTCTCGCGTTTTCTCTAACCTCTCCTTAGCCACGGTTGATTCGTTGTTCTTGCCTTTTATCATTGTTGCTCGATTCCGTCGCGTACAGAAAAGTGAGATGGTCGCGCTGCGACGGAAAAAAAAGAAAAGAAAAAAGAAAAGCTACGAAGCGTCGCGGAAGATCAAAGAGAGAAAAGAGAGAAAGAAAAAAAATGATACGTGAGACGGGCGAGCGCAGGATCGAACAGTTACATTGATCGATAGTGTCACAAAAAAAAAAAAAAAAAAAAAAAAAAAA